CCTCAGTGAAGCTTCCTCTGGTGTTCGGGAGGCGATGTAAAAATTATCCTATATCTGGTATAATTTCCCATAAAGGAGTATCAACTTCCAGGTGTTTTGCTCCAGAGGACTAAGTGAGGTCTGGTATTTCTTCCCTCAATTTCCCCCTTCCCTGTCAATCTGCAATTCTAATTTATTTCTTGCTTACAGGCCTGAGTGGGAAAAGAGACAAACACTCAGAAGAAAATGTGGTCAGATGTGAACAAACAAGTCACACATCTCCCTTTTTAATGATTGATTATTAGCTGATAATACCCTACTACTACCACCACCTTGGGGAGCAACATCTCCAGTTCACATCACAGGAGACTCTGCTGATTTAAAGCATCCTGTAACCCACATGCCAAAATTTACAATGACTGATGTAAAACTCTTTCAATGGGTTTGTTACAAACAGGTTCTTCTTGTCAGGCAACTCTGGCCCATACTCCTCAGATCACCCTGAGTTTCTTCAAAATTCAGCTCATGCAAACTCAGTTGCCATTCTAGCTGCAGAACAAGCTTCCTTATTAGCAAGCTTTAAACTGGCTTACCTAGGATTCCCCTGAGAATTAATTTCACACGTGGAAGTCACGTCGCAATAATACTGCCGACAATCGTTGGGAAATACAGAGCACTCGGACGAAAGAGTTCTCCTACTCATCCCAGGCTTGCAAACACAAGCTGCCTAAGGAAAGGCAACACAGTGATGATAGAGCTGCATTCATCATCTTTTTCCGAATAAATTACCCTGCAAAAGAGCTGTCTGGTTTCCCTTTGCAAAATCTAAGGTGTGGAGAGCAGATTTGACCAACACAATCATCAGTTCATTTGAAGAATTTCTCATCTGTCCATTTTTCAGACCTTTGCTGTTACTGCCCTTACCTCTCCTGGACGTCTGTAAACACAAACAGTAGAGTTTTCTGGGCAGCCTCCATTGCTGTCAACACAAGGGTTTATGGGCTGGCAAATCTTCCCATCTCCTTGAAATCCTTCTTTGCAGGTACACTGATACCCTCGTGTTCCTAGAGCTTTACATACAGCAAAGGGGGAGCATGGAGAAGGAGCACAAGGATCCTGAGCTGCAATTTAAAGACATCAGAGGTGAGAATAACCAAATTTCTGTTTTCAAAACAGCACTTCCTGCAGCACAGCAGAATGCAAAAGGCCTGGAAAGAATGGAGTATAAGAAATTTATGCTATTACACTTCTAAAATTTCACAGGAAAATAAAATCAGACAGCAGACATTTGGGGTTTTTTCATCTGAGGGATTTGGATGACATTTTCATGCTACTCCAGTAACAGAAGTGTGAGCGACAGATGATGTTTGGATTTACTTCTGAATTTCTATCATATCTGAGGACATATGAAACTGCAGTTTGGTCAGCAAAAATTGCAACCAACAAGTGAAAAGGAAGCTATCCATAGCTAGCTGATCACATGCATTTTATTGACTTTTAACAAAACCAATTCACAAACCTAAATTTTAAATCAGTGAAGAGCTCCTCCGATTACACACATTATTGAAACTGGTTCAGACTCACTAATATCTGGCTGTTACACTTATTTAGTACAGACTTATAAGTGAGTGCTGGATGGAACCTGCAACTCTAATTCACTTCTTGCTCTCCAGACCAACTGAGTGGAAAGCCAAAGCCTTAGCCCTTAATCTTACAGGGATTCCTAAAAAGCAGGTTCTTCAGACTCTGTAGTGAAGTGGGCCTTGTATTTACAGTAATCAAATCCACCCAGAGATAGTAGTGCAATAAGATTTTTCCAAACAGGAGACCATTTAGAGTCATGGAGAAGTTTCTCACCTTGGCAAGTGCTCCCCTGTTTTCTGTAGCCCAGCTTGCAGTCACACACTGCTGTCCCATCCCTCACCACACATTCGCTGTTGGTGTCACATGTCACACCTTTGCAAAGGGAAATTTCTGCAATCACACAGCAAAGAAAGTTTCCCTTTGAGTATGCAGGGCACTGTTGAGAGATGCAACTTACCATACACCATCTCTGGAAATGAAGGCAAAGGTGGCTCCAGGGGCCCCAAGCTGGCACAAAAGCTGGAAGTTATAAGCAGTACGGACAGCTCTAAATCACTGGTGACCTAGGTAAGTCAGGTCCCGCAAGGCTTAGAGAGAAGAAAGGATCTAGGAGGTTTCCAGAGGAAGAACAGAGGCATAAAGAGATGGATCATCTCAGCCACTATCACAAAGTGTGGAGCAGACTCCAGCTCTTCCCTCTATCTAGATCTCCAGTGCTCAGATCATCTTCCCTCTACATTTCCAAGCCATTTGTTGCCCCCCTGCTCCTTCTGGGACACATGCATCCAAGCACATAGCATAGGTTAGCTCTAACAGCCCCTCAGCAGCTACCATTGTATTTACCTTGGTCACACCTGGGGCCAGTGTAGCCTCCGTAGCACGTGCAGCTTCCATTCCCAGTGACACCGCTGTTGCATTCCCCGTGCACACAGTTACACACTGCAAGGAAAGTCCAGACAAACCTGACCTTCAGCTAGAAGGCATACACTGGCCAACTGTCCTGGAACTTGGCACTCTGATTTCCCACCAATAAACTACAGCAAAAGTAGCTCCTTATAAAAATTAGCCATGCCAGTCAGAGCTCAGAGAGGGTAAACTGCATGTCCTTGGCTCAAGAAGACGAGGTTTTGTCCTGTAAGAGCTGCCCTGAATGCAAGATCTAGACCAGCTTTTCAGGCACGTGTTTAAACATATCAGCACAACCACCAAGATCACACCTATCCCACCTGTGTGGACACAAGGGAACCAGAAGCTGGACAAAAAGGGCTCCTTTAACAGCCATGCTACACTGGTCATAAATCACTTCCCAAAAGGCCATAGATGAGAAGTAGCACTGTGTGTATTCATTTTTATAGAGGGCAACAAGGAAGAAGTTGGTAGACAAGTGGGGCAGTTACAGGAGTCTGAAAAACAGCTGGAAAGTGGGCATGGGTCGTTTCAGGGATGAAGGTAACAGCTGGCTAAAAAGAGAGAGGAAACTGGGATAGAGAGAGAGATTTACAACAGGAAAAATGAACTGATTTGATCGAAAGACTGAGAATCATTTGTCTAATGGGGCAGTGGAGACAAGCACAAAGACAAAATGCCCTGACACTGCTGTTGAACACTGCCAGCACTCTGTCCCTGTCCTCCTCTCCAGCACCCTTTCTCACTCAAATTCCCCCTCCTCCTTCCTTGTTCTCAGTTATTTTTGTTGAAGTTTCACTTGAATTACATGTTCTTACCTGACTGACAGTCTGGGCCAAAACGATTTTCATCTCGACAACTCTGGCAGGCAAAGCCACTGTATTGCTCCTAGAAGGGCCCCAAAATGTGCCAGATATTATTTTTCTGTATCACTGTATTGTTTCACACATTGTTATCATTCAAAGCCTCTCCCCATTTCTGATTTTCTATGACAGCTGAAGCAACACAGTGAAGATACCTGACCTGTTCAGTGCTCCAGTTGTACTAAGCAGCCCCATGGCAAAGGGGATCAGAGTGTAACCTGACACACAGAAGCCATGCAAAATGCCAGCAAAACTCTGATGGGCACTGAGGGAACAGTGTCCTGATTAGAGACAGACAGGAATGTACCAGCTGGCTTCTGATATCTCTCTGAAAAAGAAATCTGGAATTTAACAGTGCCAGTGGTACTTTTTAATATTGATTTTGCAGGGCTTGGAGACCTTCAGCATATCTTTTAATTGACATAAGGTGTCTTTGAGTTAAATCCAAAATCATCTTTTCTCAACGAAGAGTCCAAGAGGTAGGATTTGAGCTATTAATTAAGTATGCTGTGAAACACAGAGTTCATGAGAGAAAGTTTCAAGTGTGACACTGATCCATTAAGTTAGAAGTTTCAGAAGCACCCTTCTATACAATTCAAATGTGCAGAAATTGTTTAGGCTTTTGTAGTACCAAGTCTGGAGCTGTAAACTAAAAAAACACATCTGTCCTAAATTCTCTTTCTGGTCCCTCCTGCTTTCCCTGAGAGAGGGAGGCTCTGCCTTGCAAGGTGCAGGACTGATTCATTTGGGAAGTACATCATCCAAATCTGGAAAAGGTGCAGTCTATTAAGAGCCTAGTGTCTCATGGCTTCTTGCAGCCACACACTGACTATTCCAACTGACTGGGGGGTTAAATTCATGCAATTCTTTCTTCATTTCTTCCTAGTGATCCTTCCCAATGCCATATCCTTACCAGCAGTGTCTTAGTGCTGTTGCAGACCACACCAACCCTCAAGGAAAACCACAGACACTGATGCTGGAATGAAAGAAGCTGCTAATGACCTTCCAGGCATCAGCACAGACACTGTACAACTCCCTCTGTAAAAGCACAACACCTTCAGAATAAATCATGCACTGACCTTGCAGATGCAGGTCCCGTTTTGCTGCATACCATCCAAGCACCTCCCATGGCCATTGCAGGGATTTTCAGAGCCACCTGGGCACTCTAGCAGGTGAGACAGGCCAGACAAGATTAGATTGAACAACCAGCACCTTTCCATCCCCTCCTGCCCCAGGTGTTCCCCTGGTACAAATGCTGCCTCTTCAGCAGCAAATTATCCAGTGTAGCTAAGACTTGCTCAGAGCTGGTCAAAGTGGCCAGAAGTGGCACCAAGGAGTAGTTGGGCTACTAGCTAAGAAATTACTTTTATTACAAGTCTAAGGAGAAGTCTCAACAGGCCATAATTTACTAAATTTCAACAAAGGCACTGAAATATTTTTTGAGGTTGAGCTTCTGCTGCTAGCAGCAGTACAAGGTGGTATCACATATCTGAGGGCAGTTCTGAAACTCAGGACAGACAGGAGACTACTTTGCAAAAATACTGAGCTTTTCAGCTCTCCCTGACTTTATGAAGAGCTGGGACAGTACTCAGAAAAGCATGGTCTGCATGTCTTTGGAGTGGGGTATCTTCAAACTTTGGCAATTATTTCTGATCACTTTAAGCAAGTGATTCCTCTGATGAAGCCAGTTGCTTGTTCAAAGCACTTTGTGTGAGAACAGGCTCAAGCACTCAAACAATCTCCTGTTCTATGCAGAACTGGAGAGTGTCTTTCTGTATTCCAGCAATCAGCCAATCATATGAAAAATCTTCAGCTTTGTAGGTCTTGCTTTTGGATTTTTGAGTCAAGACAAAACAAATTCTCATTACTTAGCACAACCCTGAGTGAGAACTTTGGGATGTTTATTTTCACCTTGGATTGGAATTGCTAAGTATTTTCTGTGGCTGAATGGCTCGCTAACCCCAGACTATACAGCAGCACACGTGGCACACGCGCTGCAGACTAGAGGGACATCAGAAAGATCTTCCTCTTCCTTTGGAAACTTTTGTAAAGAGGAACAAAAACATCCCTTTCCAAAAGTTTATTTTTAAAGAAGAGACAACAGGAAGTTCCACCAGAGGAGGTTATGTTATGTGTTAAAAGCAAGAGGATTCAACTCGTCTGGAGCAAAGAGATTATATGTTGAAGCTTCCAGACAGATAATGGAGATCTTGGGAGTGTTCAAGGGATAATGAAAACTAATGACCTCAATGTATTTTTAATGCCTCCTATTAAAACCGTTTTGACTTATTCAACAGCTAGAGATCATCGTAAAAAAATGAAAAACTTACCATAGCACTCTGTACCCCAGAATCCTGGACAGCACTTTTTCTCTTCAATTTCCTTCTTACATATGTGATGGCACCCTGGCAGGGAAAGTGTATTTTCTCCTAACTTGACAGAGTATCTTAAAGAGAACATTCCAAGATTCATGTTACAACACATACCTAGCCCAGGCCTGTTGGAGGGTCTCTAAGCAATCACACTGCAGTGCATTCAGCTCTGAACATAAGGAACACTCAGTCCCTCAGCCATACATGCACACACGAGTCTGCACTTGGGCTACACCCTCTCTAGGGATGCCCATTGATTTGAGCCTCAGAGATCAGTTACAAGAAATCTGTCGGGGACAGGGCATGAGACAGGATCTTGGGCAGCCTGAGGACATCAGAACAGAAATCTTGGATGCTGGAGGGTTAGATAGCATAGAAACAAAGTTAGGCTCTCCAGAGTGACTCAACATTTGACTTCACATCTGAAATAAGCTTGAAAGAACAAAATCTCCTTGTGGGACTTGTCCCTTTCTGTCTTTTCTTAAAGATTCCAGATTGAAATGCTGCAAAATTGGATTTAATATCTGTGTTATTCACAGATTCTCTATTCAATCTTGGACAAATTCCTCCTTAATGCATCTTTCTTTCAACCTTCTCATCCAACCCCTCTACACAAAGGGTGAGTCCTTGGTGGCGGTGCCTCTTGTTCTGCACGTACACAGTACAGAATTATTCTTGGGTCTGTCCAACAAGCACCACAAGAGCAGATAACACTCAGAAAAGCTGCATACACTCACATTATTCTTACACTTCTTTTTATTTTTGGCACAACATCCTTCCCAAAAGGAACTTGGAAATTGTCTCAATAGCATTGCTGCTTTGGCTTCAATCTGACTCCTGTGTGTGTGCAAAAACTGCTATAAACTGCAGAACTGCCACTGCTATTTATAAGTATTTTGACAGAACAGTGAATCACAGAAACAGCAGGACAATGGAGCTATATATTAACAGTTAACATTCACTACTGAATAGATACACAAACAATAATCTATAGTGTTTCATTTTTCAAAAGCTTCCTAATAAATTCAGTTTTCCTTCATCCTTTTCCTATTAGTGCCAAGCTCAACAGAATAAGAGCAAGGAACACATGAACAAGCAATTGTCATAAAGTGAACTAGGAAGGTAAAAAGTTCAGAGGATTATTGCTGGAAGCTGGGAGGATATACAAGGGGAATTATCATTATATTATTTTCCTAATAAGCCACTAAGGAATTCTGGGTCTGAAACAGGCTTCTACACTAGACAGACCTCTTTAGTTGCTACAGCAGGATTAGCAAACCCAGGTTGTCTGGGGCAAGTTAGAGGTAATTATCATGCAATTTGTTCTATGTATATAGAACCTGCCCAGCAAAAAGTCTGTGGGATTTACAAGGAGACAAACCCAACAATAATAGGGGTCATAAATCCATTTTTATCCATCTGAAAGCAAAACTCCTTGGACCTTTAGAGTTCAAAAAACACACGTGTGCTCTGCTGATGGCACATGCATAGCAGGCCTGCACCAAAAACTTAACACACTTAGGAAATGGGCCTTACCTGCAGTCCCTCACCCCTAATCCTTGGGTAGTCTTTAACCAGCCTCTTGGGCACAACATTTTTGGCACTGCAGCACAAGTAGTACATGCTGTATTCAAGGTAAACATCGTCTTGACATTGCACCGCATGGATTTTAACTTGAAAAGAAAAAACAGAATGGAAATAAGCCCAAACCAAAATTGCTACCTTAGCCACTTCTCTTGCCAACTTGTACTGTCTTTATCAAGTTTCACCATTCATTAGATGCTGCTGGGGAGGGCAGTGCCCTGTGCAGCTGCAGGGAGGTACCACACACTCACATCACATCAGCTGCTGTGCACTGCTCCGCCTGGATCTCAGCTGGAAGGCAGCAGGGCAGATCACCCTGCACCCCACAGCAAAAATTCTAACCATTTTTAAAACAATCATAACTGTGCAATGCTAATTTCAGCTGATCTCTTACAAGCATGTGGTAATGGTGTGTGAGGACAAGCTCAAAATTAATAATCCTTGCCAGAAGACACCGAATTAAAAAGCAACACAGCATATCACATTGATACAATCCAGTTCACTGGTGGTTTCATTGCTGACCCACAGGTCTGAAGAATCAAATGCGTTAGTTCAGCCTGTTTTCCAGAGCCAGGAGGTGCTCACACAAGTATTTCTCATGGCAGTTGTCTTGGAGGAGGAGCAGTGAGGTGGATGAAATGGAATGGGGATGTGCATCTCTCTGACCACCTTGATGCTTTGGCCCTAGGCAAGAAGGGCTCCATAAACATTGGCATAAAGATCAGGTAGGAGATTTGAACAAATCACATGACTGGTGAAAAAAATCAGCATGTGTCCTTGCACTCAACTAGAGCAACATCAGGGGATCAGGTTTCCTCAGAGGGCTTTTCTGTACCCCTGCACAACCTTGCTTCTCCAAATGAAACACAGAGCAGATGACAAAAGTACAGCCTCAGAGTGAATGCCAAGCATCATATGCCAACTTGTCACAAAACCTCATGATTTTACTCCAAAAGCACTTCCTTGAATTTCTAATCTCCTGGAGTCAAGCAACTGCATGGAAACCTCTTTGCTACCGTTTTAAAAAGACAGCATTTGCCACTGATGGTGACAGATAAAAGCTGGGAATGAGCTGTGTGTGCCCCAAAAGGTCACTGGCTGGAAAAAACCCACACAGTTCACCTCAACTGTGCCTCTGCAGGCACTGTATTTTCTAAAAACAAAACTATTAGATGAAATTTTGGGAGGAGGCCTCGATCTGGGATTTTTAAAGCCAATCCTGAACAATGCTGTTAATGCAGCAGCCCTCCTGTGCCCAGAACTTGTTTGGGATTCCCATCAGCAATCTCAGGTTTGCTTCCTCTGAACTTAAGCCCAAATGCATACATTTGCCTCAAGGCAAGAGAGGAAGCCCATGGCTTCCCATCAGTTATCAATGGCTCAGGAAGGCCCTCCCAGATGATAGCCAGCAGACCCTGTCAGGAAAACCTCCTGAGAGATAACCTTCAAGGCCCAAGTCCACAGGGACATGTCCCTGTAACATTTTCTGACTCACGCCCACGTTCCCTCTGCCTGCAGCTGTAGAGCTTTTTCTCATCTTTATGGATCCACCCTGTGCAGCCATCCATTCAAGAATGCTGTCCAAGGAAGAAAGTGACTTCTGTGTCTGTGATTGCCCTTCCCATGGGTATTAAATTCTAGTTGTGCTTCTGGGGTCTCCACTTCCTTTGGTGGCAGAACCCCCAAGGAACCTGTTATGTCAAAGACTCCCTTGCATTATAAACAGCTCAAAACTAATCTGAGATCCACCAAATCCACCTGTCCATGTCCTGTGAGCACCAGCTTTACTAATGATATCCAGCAGGACAGAGATCAGCTTCTTCCTTATGCTTCCACCCCAGTGGCAGTGACACAGAGCAGTCAGAGGAGATTTCCCATTTTTCATGGAGCAAAACAGAGAAGACAAGCAATATGGATGAATAAATGAGGTGCTACCTCTGGAGTACTCTGTCTCAAAACATGATCAGTGCCATTGATGGGGCAGGGAAGAAGTCTATCCAACAAGCTGATTCACGTACCAATTAGGACTCCAGATTAAAGCTGGTCTTTTGAAAGGAGCCAGTGGAAGCCAGGGACACAGTTATTACAGAACAGTGCATCTCCTGCCTTTCTAGTCCCATCAAGTGCCAGCTTTAACCTTCCCCGAGACAATGCCTTGGAAATCAGAATGGGAAGATGCCTGAGGAAGAAACACAGATATGGACACCTTCCTGTGAGTTAGAATTGCTCCACAAACCTTTTCCAGGTGTCTGAGCCACCCTATCCGTATGAAAAAGACCACATAAACAGTAAAGCACAAAACACTAAGTGAAAAATCGCCAATCTTCTATTTCATCTGTACTTTCAGGCACAGTTGGGCTGTTCTCTGTCATGGTGGTGAAGGAAGACACCGTCATTCATACATTATTCCATTTTCCTTCTCTTTCCTTCATCAATGTGGCTCCATTTCTAAATGGAGATGGACAATGGGAGAGGAGATTGGCTGTTACTTCTCCCTGTTGCCACATTTAATTGATTGCAGGATCCTAAGAGAAGAACAATTATTGTGGAATCCCCTCTACCCTACCTTCCATGGACACTTTATAAGCTTTAGGCAGCTTTCCAGCAAGACCTTCCCCTTTTTATAAAGAAATATGCTTGTGTCAGCAGCAAAAGGCAGGAGGAAAGAGGAAGAAAACAGCTGAGTGGAAAATAATGTAAAAAAATATTTCCCTTCTTATTTGAGTGACAGAACTGATGAAGCAGTCATTTTCTGGAGAGTTTTGCTTCTTAGGAAAGCAGAAGAGGGAATCAAGGAACACTTGATACTCAGATTTTGGAGAGGATGAAAGACAGACAGAAGTTTGAGTCAGAGGTGGCTCCTGGGGCACAGCCTTGTGGAAAACAATGATGTACTGCTCCCTTGGGCTCATCTGTGAGCACTGTTTCTACGTGTGAAGACACTGGAAAGGGAGCAGAGAGAGAATTTCTGCCCCTAGGATGCAGAGTCAGTGAAGTGCACAGTGGCTATGCCAAGGAAAGGGGATGAAAACTGTTACTGTTCTGATCAGGTGATGCTGTTAGCCTGGACTGTAACACGTTTTGGGTACAAAGGAACAGAAAAGGAAGACTGATGCTCTCAAACAGCTCCAGAACTAAAGGAGACTTTTAAAGCAGAAGACATCTAGCTATAGCTGAAGGAAGTTAAGAGCCAGGGCACCTCTGGCCACACTGGGCTCTATCCTGCCAAGATGGGCTGTGCTCTGTCCCTGCACTCAAAGCACATGTTTGTGCAAGAGCAGCCACTGCCCTCTGTGCTTAGCTGAGACACATCAGAGCTTCTGGATGCTGCAGTGTTTCCTTCCCTCCTTCCTGTACAGATGTCCCTTACTTCTCAAGTGTTCATGTTTCTCTTATTCCATCTCAAGTGAAAATGCTGGGAAGTATTTCATAAGGGCTAGTTCCATTCTCCTCATTTTCACCCATTAATTTTTCCTCCCAAACCATAGCACAAATCCTTCTGCACAGCAAAATCTCAAGGAAGAAAGAAAAACACATTTGGACGTCAGTGTTTGGCTCCAACAATCCTGGGAGTCAGTTCTAGAAATAGTCATTATCTAATGAATCACCAAGTTTCCAGTGCATTTGTCCTTTACAAAACAGAGCTTGCTTGAGTCATTACAGTCATGCACTTCCCCAATAAGTTCTCAATAATGCTTTAGCTGAACAGACCAGCAGCTCCTGGAAGCACAAATCCTTCACACTGGGTCAATTTCAGCATGAGGATGAACAATGAAACACAGAGATTACATAACACAAGATCTACTGTTCCCTTAGGTGTTTCCCACCATCTCAGCTGCAGAGCACAGGAGGCACAGGAATGCTGAGACCACTCCCCTCATTTCCCACCTGCCTCCATTCCTCCTCCAGCACAGCCTGGGATTGGCCTTCTCCCAGCAGGAAAACTTTCATGGTTCTCAATTCTGCTGTATCTTCCCCAGCCCATAGCAGGGGGTATAACAAACCAAATCAGGCTAACAGATTCACTGTCATGTTTGAACCATCAAAGCAGAGTCCTGAGGTAACATCACATCTCTTTTCTCTCTTGATGGCCCCTTCAAGCCAATGGATACTTCTTGTGGAATCACAGCACTTCTATTGCAATCAGAGACAATGGCTATCCTAAACTATCAGAGAAGAGTTCATTAGGTCCTTATTTTTCCTTAGCTCCCATTATAACCTTCCTAATATTTCTTCACTTTCTCCAAAAAGAGGGAACATTTGGAGGAAAAAAACTCAAAAAAGGGAGTTATTTTTCCTGGATTAAATAAACATTTCCCTTCTCTGTAAGTGGGCACTCACTACCTGATAACGTAACCGTTTCATGCCAAGCCAGACACTTCAGTGATTACAGAAATCAACACAGTGCCTCAAAGTGAAGAGACCTACATTTCCACTTCCATCACATGTGAGCCCATGTGTCTGAACACGACTATACTGGAACACACCTGCTGAAACCCAAGCCTCTAGGCAAATAAAATCCACTAGCAGACACTTCTTCATGTTTGTGCACTTTAATGATCCTACAAACCTAAAGGTTCATGAGGTTCTTAACTTATTTGTATGCTTAGTAGTCATTTATGACCCTCTTATGAAAGGATCTAAACAAAAGCTTCCACCAAAGTTTTGACACTGAAGCATCTTTCCAGTGCTCTGGCTTTTTCTAAGTTAAATCTTTCAGATTTATAAGCCCTACAAGGGGCCACGTTGTCATTCAAGACAAGGCAACCTTTCCATAGCTTGGATCCCCAGGGAGTACCATTTCTAAATGTCCCCACAGCTTCTGACTTTGTAGGCCAGTTCACTCCTCCGACAGCAGGAAGCAAGAAGGGCAGTGGCAGAAGACAATATAGCATGAATTAGAGTGAATTCCAGCCTACAGGAACTGGGCTGCCTCTCCATAGAGCCTAGAGAGCAGACTTGCCAAGGCATCACACATCCTTCTAACTGCTGCTGCTAAGCACAAGCACAGAGACGAAGAATCAAAAGCAAAACAACAAAACTGAAATAAAAGCAAAATGAAAAGTATTCCACAGTGCTTACCGGGAAGCTGTTGGGAAATGTACCTGAAGCAAAAGTATTTACTCTATTGCAAAGAAACCAATTGATGAAATTTAAACATTTTCTTGAAATCAAAATTCTCCTGGGGAACTTATGGACCTGTCCTGGCAGATCCTAAGGTCACATCCCACATACTGAAACTAGAGGAAGACAAAGATGCGGCAAAGTTCAATGCTGAAAACAGAGACAAATTCAATCCAATTTAAAGCTCAAGCAGCTCCCTTCAACCTTATTTTAAGTTCCTCAGTTTGGACTACACACATAGGACAGTAACTACCTTACAGCCTGAAAGTTTAGTTAGGGGTGTTATTCTGCACCTAAATGAGAAAAAGAAGTTTTGGGGAGGACATTTCTTAACACACAACTGTCTAAACATGAAGAACTGTTCAATGAACATTTAAACAAAGACTCTCAGACTTACCTTCTGACTCTGGCAGTCAGCTGGAGGAGCGAAGCATGCTGCTAAGAAGAAAAACAGCAATCCAGGAGGATGCATTTTCATGCTTTTACAGGCAGGACCCTTTACACGAAAGGGGTGGTGATAGAGTCTCAATTTCTGTACGATAACACCGCCTACTAAGAATCAAATCCAAGACAAACCAGAGGTTAAAAGTAAACAGGGAGAGAGCATTTTTGCACTGTGCTTTTTGGCTGCAAAGTCTTCAGAAATGGGTCTGCTACTTCTAGCGTTGTCTGAATCAACATAACCTTTTTCTTTCTTTCTATTCTTTTTTAAAAATGCTCAAGCAGAACTCCTTAGTAAAAGGTTTACTCAAAACAGGAACATCGACGGATTTCCTCTTACATATCAGTTCAAAACAGAAGGAAGGAAATCCTTAGTTTTCAACTAATTGGAATGAAAAGAGGTTAACTGTATGCTTAACAGAAGGCAAATCCAATGGGCAAACTTAAATACCATGAATTCATGAAGGGTAAGTTAATTTCCTTTTACCATTGATGCTAATAAGTCCACAACACCTTAAAGAGAAGGTAGACCCAACCATTGCTGATCCCAAAGTGTGCATGAACAAAGCAATGTGAGTGATGGGCTGTGCTTCAGAGCAGTAATGGAAGTACATTGTCTAAACCAGTCAAACACTTTGGGGAGGCTTTGCTATTTATTTAAAATGTTTGACTCTCTCAGCAAGAAAAACATGTTTTGCAGGTGCTATGGCAGTAATGGCAAAATATATAATTTTCCAAACACTCTGCTGACAGCTTGATGAACCCAGGGAGGACTTGCATAGCACTTGGAATACGAAAGTCCAAAATGGGACTAAAAAAGCCCATGCCAGCCTGAGGCATGGTCTGCAATTCACATTCTCCTTTTGAACTTTACAAAGAACCAAGAATTGATTATTGACAGATTTTACCTGGCCTTTGCCTCCCTACACTGCCAAGAGAACCCACCACACTGAGCAGTCTAGGACTGCTTCTGTGAGCAACAAATCCTGCTGAGCAATGAGGGACCTTCCCTTTTCAAGCCATTAATAGCACATGAAGGTGCCTAAATGAAACCAGGAGAGGAAGCTAATCTTGTGCTTATATAAATAATCAGAGCATTGATTTTTTTTTGCCCCAGCATACGCAAAAATACACACATGCTAACACACAGGGTGTATAAGACTGTATAAATACAGAATGTGTACATAAGATGGTATATATAACTGCTGTACTTACTTGTGCCGTTAGTTGTGCTTTACTTCTTCCTTCATCCTACAGAGAGAGCCAGCATCATGGACAGCCAGCCCTGTTATATATCCTGCACTAACAGGAAGCAGATAAGGCACACAACCATCCACTGAAACCCATGTGAGAAGTACCAGCCCACAGCTCAATCCCACAACTCAGCCCACTTGTCCTGCTACAGGACAACTGCAGCCCTGGGACTATTGCTGCCCAACTGCAGCCACTCTGTCAGGGCCAAGGGGTTCACACAGCTCTGGAAACCATTTGGTACCTTGCAGATCTCCGAAATGAGGCAGAGGCATCATTTGCCATCCCACTAGACCAGTTCTAGTGGTATGGTAAAGTCACAAATGGACAGTGGGGACACCTTTGTAGAGGGGCCATCAGCATGGAGGCTGTGAAATGCTTTCTTTGCCTACAGTCATGGGGACTGGACTGGCCATGGAAACAGAAGAATGAAACTGCTTCTCTGCTCCATGCTAGCCATTAGGCACATGCAGCTAAAACAGGCAGCCTAGAAGGATGTTGAAGCTTGTTGATTAGCTTTCCAAGAGCTGGCTGTATGACACAGAGATTAAGCTGCCAGCATCCACACATAGCTGATAAGCTTTTAAGGTGAAAGCAGCTTACCCTGCGGCACTTGAAGAAGCATTGGCTCTATTAATGAATCTTCATACCATTTTCTAAAATGTTCAATGCTGAAAATGGTACAGGGGGAAAAAGGATGCACAAAGACTGATTCCAAGGCTTCCCACTGCTGCTTATCATCACTGTGTCTGACTGCTGCAAGGAAACTAGGAAGACAAGGGAGAGTAAGGCTTGGTGAAATTCCTGTCGGAATTAAATACATCAGATTCACAGCCACATCAAAATGTTCACAGCCAGCTTTCTTATCTGTCCTCACTTCAATTAAAGGCAAGCAATACAACAGCAGCACACAGGCTAAAAATGCAAACACCAAATAGTGTATTGTACAGCAGCAGAGCATAAACTGAAAAATCTAAAGGTCATCTGTCCTCAGATGCTGCTTTCCTGATCAAGCAGCACAGGCAGCATGTTTCAGCCACTGCATATGAGCTGCCCTGAGAGAAGGGAAACTCTGCTGACCACTGCTGCTGGATCTGGAATAAATTAGTAAGAAAGTGAACCACCAACCACCTCCAAATTAATAGGTGGTCAAGAGCCATAAATAATGCTCAGTGCAGAGTGGAAAGATGCCAGTGTGTTCACAGTGTCACCAAAGATTGCAACACCGGCATAGAAACAGCACGGAGAGCAAAACTGAGCCAAACTACAAATGACTGCTCCACTTAGACTGTTCTTGTTCTCTTCTGACACATGGATTCCTCCTAGGCAGATAAATGGATTTTTGCATGGATGACATCAATAAAAACTTTATGCCTTAGAGGCAAAATACACTGGATCAATTTTTTGATCCCACTGTTTTGTCCAATAGCCTTCAAAACTGCCAATAAAGAAATCCCCCAGTTCTCTCACTCATTTCTATATGAGAACAGCTCATACACACAGGCATCTTCATCAGGTATTTCAATCCCCCAAGTCTCACAAAGCAAGATCCAAGGATCTGTCAGAGCGCTCAACATCTGACAGCATCTAAACTGTCCAGAATTTACAGAGAAAATACACAGAATGAAGCCATGGGACTTGCTATGTCACTAGCAATTAAAGGAACATGTGAGACAGGAAAACCTGGGGAAAAAAGTCCTTCATTAAAGGGAAAATTTGTAGGCCAGACTTATAAAGGTCTGATGACAGAGCCCACAAATGGCCTTGTGCAGGCAGGGTAAAAGGGTTTCAGTCACATCCTAGTCAGTGTTTGATTGAAACAGGATTGTGCAAATCCAAATTTAAAATGTACAGTAGAAGTTGTCAACTGCCTGCCAGTGTGTTTATCTGTGAGGTGTGGCATGGGGGCTTTTATTTGTTTTGGAAAGCATAGATTGTGTCTTATCAGTCAAGTGTCTGCTACCCACACAGCACAAGGTGGCTGGTTTTGCAGCTGGTCACAGATGTGGGTCTCACAAACATCACCTTCAAATTCTGACCCTGACACAGGCAACCCTCATTGCAGCTTCCTCACAAAGGGCAGTGGAGAGACAGCACTGGTCTCAGCTCTCTGGCAACCAGTGACAAGACCCAAGGGAATACGTTGAAGCTGTGTCAGGGTAGGTTTAGGTTTGATATTAGGAAAAGGTCCTTCCCCCAGAGGGTGTTTGGACACTGGAACTGCTCCCTAGGGCAGTGGTCACAGCCCCAAGCCTGACATGACAGAGCTGGTGTTCAAACACTGTTCTCAGGCACATGGTGGGATTGTTGGGGTGTCCTGTGCAGGGCCTGGGGTTGGACTCTCTGATCCTTGTGGGTCCCTTCCAATTCTGTGATTCTCTGACTTCTACAAAACACCAGTAATTTACCTTGTGGGCTCAGCATCCCCAGTCATCAGCAGACTGTTGGTAGCAGCAGCACTCAGGATTTTCCCCTCAAACACTGTTCTCAGGCACATGGTGGGATTGTTGGGGTGTCCTGTGCAGGGCCTGGGGTTGGACTCTCTGATCCTTGTGGGTCCCTTCCAATTCTGTGATTCTCTGACTTCTACAAAACACCAGTAATTTACCTTGTGGGCTCAGCATCCCCAGTCATCAGCAGACTGTTGGTAGCAGCAGCACTCAGGATTTTCCCCTCTCAGTCATTTTGCTTTATACATTGATGAGAGGTTGGGTCCTCTAAAGTAACTTACCCAAGACCTGGCATTTTTTTCTGTGAACACGTTGACATTCAGAGTTGAGAAGCTGCTGGTAAAAATTACTCAACCTGTCTGTGGGAAAAAAAGAGAAGCCTCCTGGATAAAGGCAAAGGATCAAGCTACAAACCCTTCCAGCCTCCCCTGCCTGTGTCACACGCTGTGCTTTAAAACGCTACGTCACCAGCCCTTCTCAGTGCAGTGTGTGCAGCTCTGGCTAGCTTGGGCAACTTCCTGCTATTGAATTCTTCTGTGTAAGCAATCTTTACAGAAATTACAGAGCCAAGGCAAGTGATTTACCATCCAGTCCACCTTGCCACACAGCCTCTGTGGGGGCTGATCATCTCGTTACATCCACAGAGAGAAAGGGACCCTTGTTCTGCTCTTCTGAGAAAGCTGGGAAACAACATTAAGTCCTTTTGCTCTGAATTGTAAGCATGTAAGAAAGCTGTGAGTCTGAAGAGGTACTAGCAAAGGATTAAGCAGACCAAGCCAGAAGTGCATGTGTAAGAAAGAGTGCCAGCTGATCCATACTTATTGAATATATCCCTCAGAGTCTTGGTGAAGAGGCAAGGACAATCTTTTTTTTTCTCTTGGCAAATTGGAAGGAAAGGGAATTTTAAAGTTTGCTGATAAAAACAAAAGAACTGGAAGGGTTGCACAGTGAATAGGAGTCTGTTTGTCTCTCTCACACGTGCACACACAAAGTGGTCCAATTCCAAGCAGAAACGTAGGGCTGCCTGAGCACCTTTGGGTTGTGTTTTGGGTTTTTCCAGGTAAAAAAAAGGAAAAAGAAGTACCAGAAAAAACCATTTTACATAGCCTATGTTTTACTTAGCAGAGTATAACTGATTATTTTTAAAATGCCCTGAAAATAAACAATTCTGATAGCACCACAGACAGGATACTTTAGCTGAAGACTCAAGACATACTGCAGTATGTATTGAACATTTTGTTAATCTTAAAATGTGATTGGTGTTTACCAAGATCTCAAGGGGAAACTCTACCTGTTTCCTGATCCAAAGGGACAGATTCAATGTTTTAAACAGCTGTGGACTTAAAGAAAATTCTTTCATCTGCTTTTTCTGCAATAAAATATGAAGAAACCTTGACTGCTCATGCTATGTAACAAGTAGGGAATTATCCTTGCTTACTCTAATTCAAGAGCCCATGATACCCACAGACAATGGATAGTGTGTTAATGACAACAAGAGTATTAAATATACATGTGAACAGTTGACTTTTACAAAGGAAACTCAGGTCTGTCTCAAGCACAAGACATCCCCTAGGACAGGTCTTACATATAAGATGGAAGCAGGGCTGACTAATCCAGAAGCAAAGACAAGTATAACCCCTAGTATGAGAGATCAAATCCCAGGCAGTTCCAAAGGACTCATTACACATTCACTTAAAACATAAGCCCTACTGTAAATGATTTGTTCATCTGATAAGTTCTTAAATGCTTTTACAAATCAGACTACTCAGGTTGCCACAGGCTCCTCCTTAAGTGTTACCTATGAGAACTATAAAAAAGTGATTAGCAGTAACTTCAGAAGAACTAATAAAGACCTAAGGTTTAATTATATTATCCCTAGGATTTTTAATTTAGAAATTATTTTCTACCCAATGATAATTAAGCTTAAATGAACATAAGTAACCTTGAGATTTCAGGGAATAGAAGAACAGAAAAATTTAGTTTTCCCCAGAGTCTGCAGTATCTACCTTAATTGTTCAGTTCAGGCTAAGCTTAAGAGGTTAGGTTTCCTCTGACAAACTGTCAGCTGAGCTGTACACTCAAGTAATGCTTTTCACCTCTTTGCTTGCTTAGGGAACTCCACTGCATCCTGCAACACACAATTTGACTTTGGCTGCTTCTTTGTCATCCTTGCACTGACTGCAACACTCCTGGCTTCTGGAACCCCAAGAGCACAGCCAAGCTCTGCAACAGCATGGAAAAGTACTCCATGAAACCACCAAACTCCCAACACCACTGTGGAATTACCATTGTTGGAGAAAAGTCATAACTCGTTTGGACCAGGCCCTGAACAATCTCTTTGAAGTCTGCCCTGTTCTAAGCTTGACTGCTGGACCTGCGGAAATCACTTCCAAACAAAATTTCTCTATGTTTAAGGGGCATCAGTTTTAAGCAGCATCAGCTGGCACAAAAGTATCAAAACTGTTCTTCCCTTCTTAATCCCACTGGATATGAAACACTCTTTTTCAAAGGCTCAATATTTGTCTTCATAATAGCGAGTAGGGATTTTACTGTCATGGGAGAGACTAAACCTTGTTGGGCACAGTAATACTCAAGTTAAAGATGACAGCCTGGAAAACAAATCCCTAATATCTAATGGAGAAGCAAACGTATTTGAAATAAAATCTCCTTAAATTGTGTTTGGAAGCTGCAGATCCTCAGTTGCCATGACTCAGCTCTATTTCTGGACTAACAGTCTTGCAATAGTAGAATAAACTATCTGCTTCTTTCATCCTGCTGCATATTTCATACTTTACAATGCACTCTAAGAACATAATGTGTGTTGCTGAACTGCCATATGGGATCCTGCAAACAGAAGGTATAAACTTGAATAAAGACAAGGCCAAAAGAAAACTGTCAAATTACACTTTATTTGTATTGACAAGATAGGCAAAAGAAAGACTGTGTTCAGAGATACAAATTCATTATTTGCTGACAAAACGCTCATATACCCACATTAGCTATTTCCTCTCTCACGATGATATTGAAGGGATCTTTAACAGGCAATTCTTTTTCCTAGGACAAGGAAAAAGAATGCCTGTGAAAATAGTTCCATATGAAAATTTGTTACCTGCTTGTGGCTCAAATATTACTAAAGTTCACAATTGGCAGCAAATAATTACATTTGGCCTCAAAGAAAAAATATGTAAAACTGTAAGATCATTAAATAATAAGCATTAGCAGCATACCCAAAATACTTCTTGTACAAAGAACATTGCACTTGAACATACACAAGCATTTACCCTTATTTACACATTAGAATTTGTATAGAACAGCACAACTGATATATACAGAAGAACAGTGGAAACCTTAACAGCCCTAGACGACAGAATATCTAGTGTTGACTCCTTAATTTTTCCATACAGTTTCCCAGGATGTCTCATGAGTTTTTTCACTATATACTATTGCATAAAAAATAGACTGTACAAGAAGTTCAGTCCCCAGTTAACACTTCAGAGTATTTCTATGCACTATTACATGTTCACTGCACTAGGGAGCAAGGGAGTGCAGGTCAGCTCCTGATTAAAACAAGCAGAACTTGACAGGTGCTATCTACTTACACTGTGCATTACTTTACAGTACACACTGAAATCACTTGGCTGTGCAATAACTACCCAGTGAGCTCCAAAGGCAGTTCCCTACCACAGAGGATCTCCCACTGTCTTGCAAGCAATGAAATCAATTTTTCCCTGCTTTCTGCACTTGGGATAAAAATGTACCACTGGATCTCTCTGCTCTTGCTGCCTTCTTGTTTAGAACTTCCCTTTGGGACACTACCATTTTCTCCAAAATGATCCAGTGTTAAATTCTGCATCAGATCCTGATTCTGAACATCATCAAACACAAATGTAAGGGCCTGTGGATATGTCTGATAACCCATAAGTACTCTGTCTAAATCTCTGATTCGTCTTCCATCTGCAAGCTGATACTTATCTCTCTTTGGTGGCTCCTTAGCAAATTCAGGTAGTGGATAACTGATATAATCTTCGTCAAAAAGGAACAAATCAGAGCTGGTCAGTAGAAGAGTTTTAGGTTGAAGTGAACTAGTGTTTTGAGCAGATCCTTCAACATGATTTACTTGAAATGCCAACACATACAGAAGGATGTTGAGGGACGGAAGATTAGTCAAAGCATCCATCTTCTCTGCCACTAGAAAAGCAAGGTCCCCAATTTCCTCTTCATTTGGATAAATAAATTTTACTCTGCTAGAGTGAATCAGTTCATAATTCTCCATTTTTCCTGCAAGAAATATACATTATTATATTTAGTACCATACAACACTTCCTTCATGTATTAGCATAAGCAACAATCTTTGCAGCTGGAAGAACTCAAGCTCTGTATCTATTAGTACACACTTCTGGCTACACACAGTACTGGAATAACTTTATTTGGATTGCAGATCTCTACTGCAGTTTTTCTTGCATTATTAACATACTTTTCTGCAAATGTTTAACCACAAAACCAGTTCAAGGTGATGACAGAAGTTAAAGCAAATACAGCTGGATTCTCATATCAGAGATTATTCACCTCCATACCAACTGACCTCCTCTGTCACCTGCTCACTCCCAGTTCTGAACTCATTGAAAGCATTATCATATCACTGAGTACTAACAAAATCTCTGCTCTTAAGCAGAGAGAAAAGAAAGAAATTAAAACAATACAAAAACGAACAACATTCCATGAAATGCTTTTATATCCCTACTGCATGAGCACGTTCCCCTGCTCAATGTTACATTCTGGAATCACAGTCTCTCACTCCCAGTAATTTAAGTGGTGAAATACAACACAGCAAAGCTTGAAGGAAGTGTGCCTGATTTTTTCACATAAATCAACAGTCTGATACAAGATATGACTTCCCACCAAACCTCAGACTTCCTGGGCTTACACAGCTTCTCCTTAGAACAGTGACAAAAACAGTCACTTGTTAGGAAAATGCAGTTTTATCTTTTGTCTTCAACTGGCTTCACAGTTCTAAGAGAAGTTCCATCTGAGATCGGAACTGAACCGA